GGTGTTCCGTGCGGCCGATCTGGGCCCCGCCGACCCGGCCTGTGCACGGGCCGAGCCGGCGGAGCAGGGCACACGGCCGCTCCGTGCCGAGCCGCAGCCAGGAGCGGCAGGGCCTTTAGGCGCTCCAGCGCCGCTCTCCAGCACCGCTCTCCAGCGACCCCCGCCCCCTCCTCCCTCTCCGGGTCCCCGCGACTCGAGCTCCGCTGGAGTGGTGCCGGCCGGGGCGCCGCCGGCCCCGCCGCACATTCCCTCTCCCACCCACAGGTCCTGCACAGCACACTCACCTGCGGTCCTTGACGCGATCCTTGCTGCTGATGCTCTCGATGAGCGAGGACAGCTCTAGCAGCACGCTGTCGTTGTCGGCCAGCAGGTCGTCGCCGGCGCCGTCGCACTGCAGCAGGCCGTCCGCCAGGTCGCCGTCGTCCGCCGCGCCGCCCACGCTCTTGCTGCGCGCGCGCGCCTCCGCCTCCTCCTTAGCCCGCTTGTTGTCCTTGCTGCTGCCGCTGCGCGCGAAGCTCTCGACGCCCCGCAGCTCGTCCAGGTCGACGAAGCTGAAGCTCCGCGACTTCCTCGGCCGCGGCCAGGACGTGACGGGGGACCCGGCCCACGACTTGGTGACGGGGCGCTGCCTCCGGCCGCTGCAGACACGAGGGCGAGGGTGACGGTGAGCACTTGACGACCCCAGAGGTAAGTCGTTGGAAGAAGGGAATGAATCGACCCCCTTTGGGCCGCGCGGCCGCGGCTGCGAGGGAAGAAAAGAACCCTCGGCCGGCCGAACGCCTGACGAGCGCAGGGTAGGCCACCGGCACAAACGTCGTGGCCGCTTGTAGCCTCACCACCAGGCGCTTCCACTAACCAAGACCGCCCCTGCTGCTACTTTATCACAGATCCGCCACCAAACAGTTAAATAAAAATACAGTTGAGTAGACATCTCGGCGCGTCTTACTACTATAACCAGACATTGTTGAGAGAGTGATAAGGTAAGGTAAAAAAAGTGCGGAGCATTTCGGAAGTAGTCTCGTAGTACGGAGGGGACAGCGGTCTGACCAGGATTGGGAGAGTCAAAATTACGCTCCAGCTAAATACGAGGGAGAAGCCATGCCATAGTTCAAGTCAATCGAAAAGCAAACTGGATTGACTCCGTCCCCCGGCTAAAAGCCCCTGACGAGCGCAGGGTAGGCCACCCGCTCAAAGTGCGTGGCCGCTTGTAGCCTACCAGGCGCTTCCACTGGCTTGGCTGAGACAGATCCCGCAGTACTTTTCCATTAAAGCCAAAGACAGTTTTGGACCACAACATTTTCAATTCTTTTCAATAAAAAATCCTAGCACCCGTTTACAACTAGACTTTAATATCTAACAATTGTTAAACATAGTGGCACTGAGTACTCACAAAGTAAGGGGCATGGGAGCCTGAAAAATACTCCAGGAAAATGCAAAAGCAAAGAAGTCGTCCCCCAGCTAGCGACAAGTTCAAGTCTGTGGAATAATCTAATTGGTTTGACAACCTTGGCCTCCATTGACCAGCCGCTGAGGCCCCAGACGCCCGAAGAGCTGGGCATAGGCCGCCCGCCCAGACGGCGTGCCCGATTGATGCCTACCCACCAGGCGCCTCCACCACCCACCTCTCCACTAGTTCGAAAACAATTTTTGGCCTACAAATTTTCAAAATCACGTGCAACAAATACCACCAAATTCTCAAGCAAACCGGCAGCGTCCTACACTCGCGGACGCTGCGCGCCGCTCACTACCGGCTCTCACCCACCTGTCGGCGTCGTCCTCGAAGTCCATCATCAGGTCCTCCGAGTCGATCGAGTTGGTGGCGAGCGAGTCCATGGAGCCGAAGCGCGCGAGCCGCAGGGTGTTGTCGCCGCGGCCGAGGCTGGGGCTGCCCTCGGCCCCCGAGCCGGCCCTCTTGAGCGCCCGCGCCAGGCCGCTGGGCAGCGCTGTCGAGCACAAGGCACCTGCTTCAGCCTCACTGAGCTGCCTTCACCGACATCGCCATCCACTATGTGGAGCGCTACGCGCTTTGACTTTGGCCTGGAGTTGGAAATTTCCGAAAATTTTCCGGAAAATTTGTGAACAAATTCCGGAAAATTTCCAGGACTTATTCCAACCCTACCGCCAGTTTTCCCTCCCTTCCCTCTGTTCGGCTGCCGGCAACGTCTAGGCTGCTTACGGGTGGTTTGTGTGGCGGGAATGGTGTGGATTGCCCAGAACAAAGTATTTGAGTACAAAGAAAGGTTGCTGTGCAGGAGAAACCCGTGGTTCCGGAACGCAACTTCGTTCAAGGAAAAAGAATGGTGTGGTACGAAGGTGGTGCAAGCAATACCTACTAAGCAGAGATGTGCCTTATTTTTGTTTTTCATTAACTACATTGGTTAAGAGCGGAAAGGCAAATGCAATATCAAAAATATGTGACAACAGATTTGTCTTTCTTTGGATGAAGATTCTAACTTACCTGGCACAGCTCTACTTAATTAATAGGTTTAACAGGTATGCCATTGAAAAAATCATCAGATGTGCAGATTTTTACATAATTTAATTTCTTGTAAGAGATATACAAGAAGAAGTTCACAGGCACAGTACAGATGAACTGAGAATCACTAACGGAAGGCACATGAGCGAAAGTAAAAGCAAGCACCAAATCTAATAGTCAATACAAGGCTGCAGGTTAAAAACAAAACAAAAAACAATCCAAGGCATAAAATCAGCAAAATAAAAACTGTGTTTTTGATTCAAGAATATCCCAAAATTTTTAAGACAAATGTTCTTACTCTAATCGCTATTCACACTTCTAGCAAGTGAGTTTTCTTATAATAAGAGCATTTTTCTTAAAAATGTTAGTCTCTAGACACAAAAACACATTTTTGGGGAAGAAACACTTGTTGAAATAGCTCAGTCAAAATTCACACTGAACTGAGCAGTCGTAATGTGCATGAAGAAAATTCCCAACACCATTAAAGACGCATACAGTTTAAAACTAACTTTGAAATAATGAAATCAGGGATTTGTCAGCAACCAGCACCAAGAATAATACCATAAGTGGAAAAAAATGAGTAATTATAAAAGAAAACTACTCAATGAAACTGAATGCAGAATATTATAAACATACATCCTATTCATAAGTGATAAAGTATTTCTAGACTAACATCAGGATAATGTCATTAAGAATACCATGATTCCAAATAAAGTAAGATAGTCTATCGATAAACATGTAAATGCATAATGCACAATGGACAAATTTGCATTATGTAAAAAGACTTAAAAAAACAAAGTGGAATGAGCTCAATGGACACCAAAATTGGAATATGTGTACTTTGAACACTAACATGATTAAACTTTCTCAACTTAAGGTGTTAAAAAGAAGAATACTAAAAATGTCTTCCAGTCTTCCCAATTCACATTCTCACTACACCCTTACCTAATAAATGGCACCCCACTATCACAAATTCTGAGACACGCGGCTCAACAGAATAAATCACAACGCAAGAAGACAAATTATTACATCTAGTATCGGAAGAGCACATAAGCACCATTAAAATCTATCTCATATCCTATTTCAACCCGTCGTGTGCGAAGAGACGATATTTCGAACCCCCTGCATTGCATTTGGTGAAAGGGGACAGCCCTGCACAGCACTCTGTGGGTGTAAGTCCTGTCCTACACATTTCAAGAGAACCTACATTGATTCTACAAATAAAATTTCGTAAATGAACATAATTTTGCAGCACCTAAGAGGGTTAGTAATCACACAAACATGCAAATTTACTCCAGCAGAAAGGTCCTCGCAATCATTAACTACCAAATGGGCATCCACACCACACCAAAAGTGCTAATTTAATTTTCTCAAAAAAAGAAAAAAAAAGAAGTAAAGCACCAAACCACCCTTGTCACCTTTACCCCTTTCACCTCTTAAATCATTTGCGGGTACCTTGATGATGAGATGACTCCCTGAGGGTGAGGGACGCGGCGCTCTCCGTGATCGAGGCCAGCTCGCTGTCGTCGCCGTGCAGCTTATTGTGGTAGGTCAGGGCCGGCTGGTCGATGATCTCGTCGTCAATGAGGAAGTCCCGTCCGTCGGACAGCGAAAAGGAGTTGGATGGCGTGCCCGACCCCTCTGGGCTCAGTGTATGGCCCTACGAGTAATTGCAACGAAAGTTACACAACGAAATCCCCCATCAAGAATACTTTGAAAGTGCAGAGAAAAAAAAAAAAACAAGCGGAATCCTACCCCTTTCTTGTCAGCACATGTTGAGTTTTCTGACACCTTACAGCTAGCTTTGATTAGGTCCTTGACCTCGTCCTTGGCCTCGCGCTCCTTCTTCTTGGTGCGCACCTTGCGCCGGCCCTCGCCGGCCTGGCTGCGCTTGGCGGGGGAGGTGGAGTCCTCGGGGTCGCTGCTCGACGCGCTGCTGCTGAAGAGGCTGTCCTCCGGCGCGCTCTCGTCCTCGATCAGGCCGCCGCCCGCCACCAGGTCGGCCAGCTTGGTGACCTCGGCGGCCGCCACCACCGGGCCCAGCGAGCTCCGCAGTTCCTGCACCTCGCCGCACACCTCCTCGTCTGAAGACACGAAGATAGACCACCCTTTAGTCCCGCGTACACAGAATTTCGTCACGAATAAGTCAAAAGTAAAGTCTCCTGGCTATCACGTTCACGTCAAAAATGAGTCGATTTCACGTGATTTTTGTCATAGATACGTCAGTGCAAAGTCACCGTCATCGTCCTCACCTATGACCACCACGGCGTTGACCTCGTCCTTCCACTCGCCCTCGGCCATGGCCTCGCCCTGGCCCCAGTCTTCGTCCTGCTCCGGCCCGTAGTCTTTCATGAAGCGCCCGTTTAAGGACCTCCTCTTCTCGGCCGTCTTGCCGTCGATGTACACTTTGGCCTCGGTGGTGTCGTCGAGGCCCTCTCCGTAACCCCGGAAGAGGCTAGAGTCGGTGTGGAACTCGTCCGAGGACACGCTCTTCGCGGAGATGCTCTTCGGCGAGCCTCTGGCGGACAACTGCGGGGGAAAGAGAGGGGTCACGTCAGAGATGGGCATCAGGTACGAAGCCGAGGCCTTGGAGGGTGAAACCGAATAACCTACCCGTTGAGGCGAGGGGTTCTGGGCACCCAGGGACACGAGACTTCTCAGGGACGCCCTGGACACCATCTTGGCGATAGGGACGATCTCCGTGATGACGTTCGGGTCGTCGTCCTCCTCCCGGAGACTGCGTCGGGACGACTGGGCGACCCGCCGCAGCCGGGCGCCACCAGGGCTGATGTCCAGGATGTCCACGCCGTGCAGGGTGTCCGTGTCGCCCACCGCCTGACTGCCCAGCCCAGAGTCCTCGTTCATCGAGCTGTCCTTGGAGGACATCAGCTCGTCGTCGCACGTCGCAATCTGCGGGAGGGGCAGCAGGAGACCGTGTTCACGACCACGACGTGGTGCTTTGGCGTCGGGGCATAGGGAGCCACGAGGACGTCGCGGGTACTCACCGGAGCTCGCCCCCGCGTCCCGATGTTGGCGGCCGTCTTGGCGTCCTTGGCGCCGAGGCCGCGGCCGCGGCCAGGGCGGGGTAGGAAGGACGACGCCGGCCTCCCGGGCGCCATGGCGGGGCCGTGCCTCGTCACGGGGAGGGAGTTGGGCGGGGAGGGGCGGCCCGCCGCCCTCGGGGATGGGGAGGGCTTCGGGGAGGGCTCTGGCGATTGGAAATAATACAAATATATCAACATTTTCCGGCGAAAGATATCTTTTAGGGTGTCCAAGAAAATATAACTATGTCCTGATCGATAGTTAAAGCTAGCTGACATCTTAACGTAGGTAATGATTTTTTTTTAGACTAAGTACTGTACTTTAATTGAGGTATCATCTGATAAAGACAAAATTTTAACGCCTCAAAAATTAAATCAGTACACGATGGTGTCATCGTGCTGCTGGACATTAGCTGTTACACATTGTCAGCCGCGACACGCGAGCGGGGTCGGGTTGCGAGGCTGCGGTTGTAACGGAGAGCACCAGGCTGTTACTAAAACTCACTGTGGGCTGCTGGGCGCGGCTGCGACTGCGCGGGTGCGGGGCGGGCCGGCGGGCCGACGGGCGCCTTGCCCTGCTGGCCCTGCTTGGCGAGCACCTGCGCGCTGGAGTCCCCCACCTTGTTGGACAGCTTGTTGGCGTCTAGGGGAACAAGAGCAGAGCGTGAGTACGGTTGAAAGTCCTGGAAATTTTTCGGAAAAATAAGGACAACTGGCCAGAATTTTTTTCTTCGAAATTTTTTGAAAAAATTTCGAAAATTTTTCCCGGAAATTGACAACCCTGAGCGTGAGCACACAGTAAAAAGGGGGGTGTCCCTCACGGGTACCTCGACCACGACACTCACTGCTGCTGCTGGAGGTCCTGAAGCCGAAGCGGTTGGTGCGCGGCGGCGCCTGCGCCCCGGGGGCGGCGCCGGCGACATCCTTGGCCGCCCTCGCCAGCCCCGGGCTGGCCTTGATGGCCGTCGTCACGTTGTGCTGCTCCTTCTCCAGCGCCTCCTGGCTGTAGTCGCGCTTGTCCAGCGCGGCCTTGTCGTTGTTGTTGGCGCCCTTGGAGCGCCTGAAGCCGAACGAGCTGGCGGCGCCGCGCATGTAGGGCCCGGCGCGCTTTAGCCCTTTGGACTCACTCTGCAACACACGAGAACCTCTCAGACCCAGGTCCGACCTGCCCCAGCTGACGGCCAGCACGACCCCAACGTCACCTCCGCGGCCGGGTGCCCGAGCAGCCTCCGCGCGCCCGTCGCGGCCGCCCAGTGCATCGCGGCCGCCCACCACCAGCAGGCGCACAGCCACAGGCACAGCGAGCGCGCGGCCCGCAGCGGCGCCGTCCTCCGCAGCGACCTCAACCAGGTCGCCGCCAAGGGTGCCAGAGCGGCCGCCGGCCCACGCATGTCGCGACGGGGAGGGCCTCTGCTGCACTGCGCGGCCGGCGCGTCGGGGACGTGACGGGGCTCCGCCACTATCAGTCACGTCGTGTATATGTCGAGGGGGAAGCGACTGACGGCCTGAGTGAGCCCATCCGGGGGTAAGCCGGTAGACACGAGGCAATCCGTTGTACTCGATATATCAGGGTCGTTACCCCCCTTTCCTCGACATGTGATCGCCGGGGACCGGACCCAGAGGGAGGAAGGGGGAGGTCAGAGGTCATGTCATTCCCTCGGGTGCCCCCCCCCCTCCCCCCTTCCCGCTCCAGCATGCGTGCGACCTTGACTCGACGCAAAGCGAAAAAATAAAAATGTATGCAAATGGAAAGCGCCGTGGTCTCGTTCTGTGGTGCGGGGGGTGGGGGTTAGAGTTGGGGTAGGGGTGAAGCACAGGTACTCGTCCTCTAGAGAAAATGCGCTGCTCGAAATTAAAGCCACGGTCACTTGAAATTGAAGCACCCCACGCAACAGCAAAATCCAGCGGCGGAAGAAGCAGGGACACCGGAATCGGAGTACTTCCGCTCGCCCTCCGAGCAGCGCTGAGCAGCGCACACATTGAGCGGGGGAAGAAGGGGGGGGGGGGGGTACTACCCCTTCGACAAACATGGCGGCCACGGGACGTGGCGGCGGGCTGCACTTGTGTGACTCACAGAGGCGGGGCGGGCGACAGATAAGCCCTGCGCCAGCGCACGACTCGCTGCAGCCGCACTCCGTGCCATACTCACCGACGAGGACTGACCCATGGCGGGACTCGCATACTGCGGGGAGCTGGCCAGGGGGTTGAGGTTCAGGTCGCTGCTGTCACTGCCGTGGCCACGGGGGAGTGGTCGCTGCTGCTGCCCCGCTACAGCCACAGGCGGCTCGGGCCCCTGCACGGGCATGGTGCGCCGTGCCAGCGTTCCATGGGGTCGTCACATGTCACGGACGCGGGTCACGCCGACGCTCGTCGAGTCACTTCCAGCAGCGTCACGTTCTCGCGCCGAGGCACGCAAAAGCCTTACAAGGTGGTGGCGTCGTCGTTGGTCGTCTGCAGGGTTGTGCGCGGGGGATCCGCGAACGGTCCGACTGCGGGGGGGAGGGGTCGGTCGGCTCGGCCGAGCCCGAGGGCCGAACGGCACGGCGAGGGGGCGAGGGGGTGGGGGTGCGCGGCGACAAAGGCGCCCCTGCTACGGGCTCCCCTGGCTACCCCTGGCTGGGAACCTGGGGGTGCCTCTGCTCCCGGGGGACACCCGGGATCCGGGCCACGACGGACACACCCACGGGTGCCCGTCGAAGGAGGGAGGGAGGGAGTCCCCGCTCGCCTCGGACACGGACTCGTCGACAAAGACGACGGCCCGCGGCGCGCTGTGTACTGGGCGCGGGGAGCGCTTGTCGGCGCCACGGCGCCCCGCCCGAGCGCCCCGCGATCGATACACGACGCCGAGGAGGCGCACGGCGGGGGTGGCGCGGTGCGCGGTGGCACCCAGAGGTGGCACCCGCAGCGGAGCGGCCCTCCGGGGACGCTTCTCCAGGCTCCAGGGACCGGGGGG